TATACTATTACTGGAGTTTTAAAACTACTGCATGGCTCATTTACCCCGGGAATCGGCCCAAACCCGGTATGTAATGCCTACTGCATGCTGCATATTTCTTCAAATACGGGAGCCCTTCTCTGTACACGTGGGGATTATGTGAGGTATACCCTGTACATAGGATTTGGAACATTCTTTGGAAAATGGAGGGCCCTTTCCTCAACGCTCCAGAGTCGAGCCTTCTCTCTCTTAACCGTGTCCAGAGTGCCACTATACCTAGATTGGAAGTGCATTATATAATCAGCTTGTCTCGGAAGGATGCTCCGTTTGGACGTTGGCTTTAACCTTACATTACATCCAAGGTCGATTGATTAATCACAGTACTTTGTAACCCTTCTTCAGAGTCTTGTCCAGAGCTATACCCATATATAGACTAGAGAAACTTGTCACCAAGGCCCAAGAAACAAGGCAAGAGTGCAAGGGTTCTATCCGCAACACTGGCATTACTGGGGTCGCATAAACCACTTCAAGGATCAGACATTCTATTCCTGGGAGCTACGAGTGCTCTGGAAACCGTAATTATGGCTCCCAGGAGCAAGTACTTAAGGATCAAGTTGACGGATTTAGGGACAGAAAGGCACTTTAAACGTTAGGCCAACGTTTAGTTCAACTCAAGAAACATGACGGCGGACGGTCAGACTGGCTCAGGAGCTCAGGAGAGCAGAAAATAACTTAAAATCGGTATTGGATGGTAGTCTTTAAATGTGATGGGACAGATACCAATACCTTTCCCAACCTCAAAGTTCCTGATACCAATTGGGGAAACTATTGTACAAGCGGGGGTTTAGTTTCTGAGGAACAGCGCTATGTCATGAAAATAGGTCTGGAATCGACACGCGAGGCTCAGCGGTTTTATCATGTATCTCACCTAAGCGTTGGTTTCTATTCAGCAATCAGTTTCTGCTTTTTGGACAACGAAACTTCCATTTGTTTCGGTCTCACTTTAGGGAAGCAAGGTTCTAGGCACCCAATCCTACCTGTTCGGGATTAGTGCGACCCCGTGCAATAGAATAGTCTATCCTTGATTCCCCCCTTCCCCCCATCCCTCGCCCCAATTGCTTTTTCCCGACGTCCACTGCCCAAAACAAGCAAGCATGGAAGAAGTCTTTCAGTCTCTGACCACAGGGAAGATCCATGAACTTCTAGTATTTTGTGGGATCGGTGACTGTAACGATGATCCCATCAAACAGCATATCCTTGCCATTTCGAATTTTGGTGCGCTTTCGAATCGCGGCCTGGGAAAAATTGTATACTGACGCATTGAAGTTCATGATCAAAGGTTGCGAGTAGGACTTACAGATCCACCGCCGATACTTACACCCCGACACAGCCCGACCCCTGACGCAGCGGCGAATGAAAAGCGTGGGTCATACAGATTCTTGTCAACATCAGATAAACGAAGCAGGCAAGACTACACAGGGCTAGATGGTTCGTCTACGAAGAAGAAAAGGAGACGCAAAGATAAACCTAAGGGTGACCATATTGGGAATGATAATATGCAGAAAGGAAAAGACGCTGTGGTAACTCGGGAGGGTGGTACACCTGTCCCGCATCCCCCGACGAGTGAGAAACCAGCGGAGATTGCCCCCTGCCTCCAGCTTCAGGCTCTCTCCAACCAGCCGGTCATCCCCATAAACACCCAAAGGATCGAAACGGTTCTGAACAGGGTGCCAGATAGTATCCTGGAGAACATACTCATCAATTGTGTGCGGTTGAACGATCGGCTTGGAAGGTACGGGCAACGATCTGCACAGACAACTGTGACAACCAGGGTCAAGACTATTCAAAGCTTCGTCGATGAAATTATCCAGCTAGACTACTCCGATGCCATACAAGCGATCAAGCAAGAAAACGCCTTTTCAGCCAGCAAGAACATCCAGATTCGGTACAACGAAACCGCGTATTGGGAGATCATAGAGAAAGGTGCAGAACTTCTCGATCCGAAGAGTCTGCCAAGCCCTAAAGGGCCTCTCGATGAGTTCACAATGGCCGAGAAGGTTGCGACCGAGCGCTTCATGAGAGAAGCAGGGTATGGCCTCAGCCTTGCTAACCAGCGTCAGTGCCGCCTTTTCTGGAAGAGGCTTTGCGAGATGCGGAAAATGGGCGTTAACAAGATTCTCCTATATCGGACTAAGGAGTTCGATCGTTTTTGCAAGAGCTGTTCGGCAGACGACGCGACATCTCTGGTAAAAATGATTCGAGACTGGGAAAATATCTACGGTTTGCAGATCGAACAGCTGGAAAACCGAGTAACTCAAGAGAGTATGGGCGATCTCACGGGAAGGTTATGGCTGGGCCAGCCTGTTTTGGCCGAGAGATTGAAGATTTCAGATGTTGCATGGAACAGTGCGAGTAACGCTTGGCTTTCCGACGAGGAAGCAGTCGCTTTCCAATCGAGTGGGCCACATGAGCCATCTTTCGCACAGTTTGGTGGGTTTCTTGACTTACATCCAGGGGCAGAGGCGATGAGAAACAAGTCTATATTTGTTACCATACTACCCAAAGACAAGAACTTCTTTTCTGTTTGTCCCATCATTTCAGTCCAGGAAGGAGATTTTCTTGGAGTTTTTGCTGGGATGATTCGCTACTCAGAGCCCTGCAACGTCACATATGGTGTGCCTGGCCCCGAAGAAAATCTCTGGTTGGACTATTCCACACTCACTGGGGCACTCAATCTGATGAGCGTATCGCGCCCTGGCGAAGATTCCAATGTTCGCCTTGACTGGGAGCTCATCGGTGAGCAGAAGGGAGAAAAGCCGTTCTTGATGTGGAGGGTGACAGTTCGAGCTCTCCGGACGATTAGACCGTTTGAAGAGATGATTAGAGCTGCTCCGCGAAAGGAACAATACCTTTTACATAAATCAGCAGCCGGCGCAGAAAGGGGATTCAGGAAGGGTGGATAGTAATGGATTCAGAGGGAAGAAAGATATTGAGCTGTTCTTTGCTTTACTGGTTCGATCTCCTGTAAATTTTCAAATTCGAGGGTTGTCAGGCCTTTCTTGGCCCTCCTCTTCTTCTCCTTGCTTCAGGTCTACGTAAGGTGAGGACTTCTAGCTAAATATTGACCTTAAACGAGAGATACGTCCCTGGTTGCTGGTCGCTACGCAAGGTAACCTTCTGGAAATTTCGAGTGAATGGTTGGAGAAAAGGAGTTGACGGAGGACCAATCATACATTCCAGTTTGTTCCAGAATAGCAACGCCAAGACCAAGTTCCAATCCCATGTCACTGTAATAAATCTCTCCACTTTTCCACGACACCATCCGTTGCAACACACAGATAAATGGTTTGAGGATTGAATCTGCCATTCCCGTGACCCCATTCTCTCTTTCAGCTTTAGACGCATTGATCGTCGTTTCGGAACATTGGCGCGTAACTCGCTCCGCATTTTGCGCTTGGCTGGGATGTTTGTATGCAAGGATTTCATGCTGGCCTCTATGGTCGATTTGCTTGTATTGACAGATGGACTCGGTGAAAAGCGGCCAGCTTGGACATGCGTCGCACATAATGCATCTGAACTCAATTTCAAATTTAAGTTTTCTGCGTACTTGGAATAACATTGTGTTGGTAAGAATCCCTCTCGGTTATGACCAAGAAATCATTCACGTACCCTTCTTGGAATCTCCCACCTCGTTTGACTCTCCTCCCGCTATAGGAGGACTAGATTGAGCAATTTGAGTACCGTCAAATTGCTGGCCGCTGTGGTACTTGACAAATGTTAAAGCCAGAGTAGATTCCGCAAGGAACAAATTCTGCGGTTTGGTGCGACAATTATCGCTGGCCCATCTTTCGTATTCTGGGGTACTCATGCGAACTGTATCGGCATCCGAGCTATCTTCTGGCTTTTGCTGCAGCTCGCCATCCTCATCGGTAACAATGGGATTGGCTCTAGTTGAGCCAGTTGAGCCAGTCAGAACCGTATGTTCGGACATGCCGTTGGGGGGAAACTGAGCAAACCATGAGTCATTTAGCTTCGTGAACACAGTACTCAAGAAGAAATTGGCCGTTGCATATCTTAGACTCAATCTTCTTACCTCAAATGTTGCAAAAGATTTTAGATTCCAAGTACAAAGCTGCTGTTCGGCCTAGACGGGCATGATCACTTATGGGGTAAAGGTGAACGTGAAGGTCATATATAAGCATGTACTCTTTATAACCTCTCACAATCTCGGGTTAGCTTTCTAGGAGTGGTAAAGTCTGTCTCTGGGAATATGAAATACCCCTCCTGGGAGCTATATTGATCCTGGAACTCTAGGTAAAGTTCCCAGAGCAGCCACTGGTCATACCAGGATCGACGGAAAGTGATTGATTGATTGATTGATTACCTCTGGAATTAATCTAATGCGAACAGTCTCAGGGTTTCCACCGAACTGAAGCTTTATTAGGCACGGTTATTCTCAGGAAGGGATTTGAAGCTCTCAGGATTGCGGGTTAGCTTGCCTAGGAGCGTAAAATCTGTCTCTGGGAACATGAACACCCATCCTGGGAGGTATATTGATCCTGGAACACCAAGTAAAGTTCCCAGAAACGCTTCCGTCGATCCTGGGAATAGAATTCCCTCAAAATATGGATGAAGAAACTTTTGGGCTGCTTCATGTACGGATCCACTCCTTTCTTTCACAAGCCCATCTAGTTCAGGATCGTGTTGGGCAGTTCCGGTAACTCTACTACTCCTGGAAACTCAAGCCGTTATTAGAGGTCAACAGCGGATCTCCGGATGACTGAAGTAACTCCGGGATTGGTATTGATTGGTGGTTTCCAATAAACATCTGAGGGTTCAAGTTTTCCATAGCTCCTTTCCCTGTGATCCGCTGAGCCCCATTTGACACGGACAACTGCTATGAGGCACAGAACAGTTGGGATATGTTGTTTATTGAGAGCGATACTAATTTGACCTTCACTTTCCCACCAAACCCCTCTCTAAATCACGCTGGAATATCAACGTAGGTTGGAGCCAGAGCAATGACGTCACTCAACTTTATTGGTGGTGATCGGTGGGGCTCAGTATATATATATGGAGATTCGAAACTCCTCAAGAATACGCGGGCTTTGATGCTGAACAACGCAACTGCGCGGTCTACCATAACGGCCAGTCATACAAGGACTGCTCTGGTGGAGAACAAATCACCGCTAACGCAGGGCCACTCGAACACTACTGATTCGGAATACAACTGGTTCGGTGAAGCTGAGCGTTAAAGTCGGCATATCAAAAGATGAGGCATACAATCCGTTGTAACTAGGATACCTGTCGGGGCTTTACTTCAGCATTAGTGAACAGCAGTCAACGGTGGAACGATATAGCCAATCAATTGGAGAAATTCGAGGATGAGAAGTTAGTTAGCTCATTTTTTTGGGGTTGATGGATCTTGGGGAAGATGAGAGATTGGCTGATCTACCAGATAAAAGATATTCCCTTTCAGAATATTATGTACACGTGCTGGTATATCCACAATGCCAGTAAAGTGCGATCTAAAGAGTAGCTAGTTATTAGGTATGCGGGTTCATGTAGCTGGCGTCTCACTTGAACGGAATAAAGGATCTTTTTTGCGGGAATCCGGCAGTGAAGATTGAGGGTAAGAATATTAAAATATGAGGCATACAAGGTTCAAGTGATGTTAAGGAAGGTATTTTTTTGATGTGTGTGATTCTTTCCTCCGCTTTTTTGGTATATTTTCCGCGAGGATGCTTGATTCTACGATCAACCTGCTCAAAACTGCTGATACTGTCAGAGGCCACCTGGACTGAGCAAGGTTTGCCCCTATAAATACCTCATATAGGTCGGCCCTCCAAGCATTTTCCAGCTCATGATCATTACAGGATAACTACCTAAATAGGTCTGGTACGTCTTTTCACTTTTCTATGAGATGAGTGCATGAGGTCTAACCCCCAAAGCCTAAAGCATCCACAAGCGTTCAGCAAACAGACGAACAACCAGAGATGTAAGCCCGTTCTTTCTTCATCACAAGGGCTTTCGCTGACTAGCTTCGTATTCACTATACTCACAGCGCATCACGCGACTATCTTATGCGCGGCGCGTTTTTGATTGTGTAACGGAAAGCAGGGCCTTCCGACTGTCACAATTGAGAGTATTATCCTCTACACAGTGACTGTACTTAATGATTTGCACCAAGAAAAACTCCAATTCACTGACGAGGCCAGTTTAGATACCACAATTGAATCGACGTACGGGAGGACAGTCTGGAACTAGGGACTTGAAGGTCAGCAGGAAAGGTCAAAGCGTGTCAGTGCCTGAGGCATAAAAAATTGACCCACAGGGTGAGTAAGCTGGTAAACACCCAGGTGCGCATTCCCCTGCAACGGTTCGTTCTACGTGTCAGACGGCGGCCGCTTTGCTCCGTTGACTTCGATTCCGAGGTCTTTTGATTATCTACTGAAACTGCTTTCGACAAGGGATGGAAGAAACAATCGCCGAGTTACGTCGTCAACTTGAAGAAGAGCGGCGGGCGCGAGAAGAAGAGAGAAAAGCGCGAGAAGAGGCAGAGCGCCGAGAAGAGGAAGAGAGACAGGCGCGAGAAGAGGAGAGAAGAGCGCGAGAAGAGGCAGAAGAGCAACTGCAACCCAACACACTACTACGCCTCCTCGATCGCTGCCACCATTCTCTGTCCCAAGCGATCAAAGTTGAGACAGATGCGACCCTCACAACTCAGGGTGACGCGGCCGACCCAGCAAACCGACTTTACCCTAAGCACATCATCCCTTGGCTTGACTTTCCCCAACTACAGGAGCAAGTCTGGGAGAAATTCGATCGCACCGCTGCCTTTACCGAGCGCCCACTATTCCCTTCTGATACCCAAATCGATTATGTTGTTACAAATATCCAGAATACGCCAATCTATTCGGAAGCTTCTCTTCGGAATTTTGAGCGAGACACGGTGGATAACTTTGTCGAAAAAGTCGTCAACGTTTTGCGAGACGATAAACCTCTTCGACGTGAGTTTGGAATCCAGGGCCGAGTCACCTTCTATGATCGCGCGAACCCATCGGAGACCTCGCTGAAGAATAGCCTGGAGCAAATGAATATTCAGGATGCGCGCACACCCCAACGACTGGCGAACACTAGGCGTGGAAGAGGCAGAGGAAGAGGGAGCGGAGCAGCGCAGAGACAGAAGAGGGATGGCGCTGTACGAAGACGCAATCGGCGCGCCGACCAGTTCTGCGTGCACCTTGTGGCTGACGAACGACAAATACCAGTGTATGCAGTGGAGTTCAAAGCGCCGCACAAGGTGACAATCCCCGAATTGGTGGCGGGTCTACACAAGATGGATCTGGCTCGCGATGTCATTGACCAGGAAGGCGACACATTTGAATATTATGCCACCCGCCTCGTCGCGGCCGTGGTCACTCAGATATTCTCATACATGATCGACAGTGGAGTTCGATACGGTTATATCTGCACGGGGGAGGCTTTTGTTTTCCTCCATATCCCGAAAGATGATCCCACGGTTGTTCAACATTTCTTGTGTATCCCGAATCAAGACGTGCAGGAGGACGATGAATTACGCCTCCACCGGACCGCCATCGGCCAGGTGCTTGCATTCACCCTTCAAGCACTGACCGCAGAAGCTCCAACTCAAGAGTGGTACGATATGGCAAATGACCAGCTGAAAACATGGGAGGTCGAATATCTAGACGTGTTGAGACAAATTCCCGAAACTCTCCGCAAGGACCCGCCAGCCTCTATTTATCGGCCCTCGCACTGGAAACGAGATCCGAAAATACACAACACGCGCTCTCGCGCTCGTTGTCAACCCGGCGCATCTACACCGAAGCACTCGTCGACTGAAGGTAGCGGCAGTGAGGAGGAATCGCACTCGCCATCTACCGCAGCAGCATCCCGCAGCCGATCGAGCCGCGGCCGAGGCAACAACCATAAAATAACTAGGGGAAGCGAAAGGACACGATCCGGCCGGGACAACAAACAGACTTCTCGAAAAGACGGGCAATCTACCCGACCATACTGTAGTATTGCTTGCATTCGCGGGATAGTTAACCGAGACCCACTGGATAAGAAATGTCCAAACTGGAGACTACATGGTAATCTATGTCACTCCATGGGACCGAAGGAGTTCACACGCCAGCTTCATCGTCAACTTGCCCGAGATCGAGACCTCGGGTTTGAACAGCTGCACGTCTGTGGTCGGACAGGCTACCTCATGAAAGCCACCCTCCTTTCACGCGGATACACTGTGATAATTAAAGCTACGACTCTGGAAAAGCAGCATCGCCTTCAAGCGGAAGTGGACAATTATCACCACCTCAGGAGCTTGCAGGGAAAACAGATCCCCGTCTGCCTAGGGACGTTTACGCCACGGGTTTCATATTGGTACCATGGTGAACTAATGGAGCAGATGATGATCCTCAGCTGGTCGGGAAGGAGGCTCCAGCACGTCATAAACGATGAGAACTCGAGGTTCTTTCACCAAGAGCGCGAGAAGGCTCTGGCCATGCTCCGATCGCACGGCGTTGTCCACGGCGATAGTGAGTGGCGCAATATGTTGTGGGATGACCTGGGTGGCTGTTTGACTGTCATTGACTTGGAGGATGTGAAATGGTTGAAGCGTCCCCGGGTCCTTGAACCGAAGTCTGGGAATGCACGACGTGGTCATCGCGCAACTGCGGGAAAATCCGGCCAAAGATTCCTGTACAGCTCAGCCGCTGTCTGCACGTGACGCCACCGGGGCCTGGGCTACGCCTCATTCGAGTCGATTCATGGTCGCACGCTCCAATAACGAGGGGGAAGGAAGTATGCTCTGAATATGAGACAGCCAAACCACCAAACAGATTGCCTACGTGTGTGAACATGAATTGCTTCGCAGATGAGCGATCGCGCATTCTGTTATTGGCCGTAAAAAAATTTGTGGAGATCGGTGGCTGTCGTGTATTCTCAAGATATGTGATGAAAGCTCTCAAAAGACTAATTAATTAGCGCCGTCAAACATACTATCCCTCAGAACGACTTTCTTGACCAATCTCCTCCTGAGATTCTACCTTCAGTTGTCCCCGGGCCCTGTTTCCTCCGTTCCTCTCTCTTCAATGCCTTGTTTTCGCCACCCAGCTCTCCACACCGGAAACAGCATCATAGGGCGACTTCTTACGCTCCAAAAGAAATGATAGAACTTCTGCTGGGCTGAAAACTTGCTCGGGCATCTTGCTGGCAAAATCACGAGAAAGCCCGTCGATCGTCTCGTCGTCATATTCCTCGTTGCATTGCTTTTGATTCGGCAACTGCTTGAAAACTGTGTGGAAGAGCTGAGTCGAAATATTCTGATCGGCAAGTTTGAAATGAACTTTCTTGTCTGAACGGCCAGGCCGAATCAGTGCTTCGTCCAGATGCTCGATGTGATTCGTGGTCATAATGAGTATCCGGCCCTCTTGAGATGAGACACCATCAAGCACATTCAAAAGTCCGGATAGGGTGACTGCGGACTTTGACTCGTTTTCTTGGTCTGTGTCGACGCTGCCCCGACGTCCCACCCCAGCAGTATCCACGTCCTCTAAGAGAACAATACAACGTGGCGGAAGCTCAGCAAAAAGCCTCATTAACGTGGTGTCTGAAATATTCGATAGTTGAAGCGTATAAATATCCAGTTCGTGTTTCCCTGCAAGTGATAGACTGAAGCTGGATTTCCCGGTTCCAGGGGGGCCAAAGAGAAGGTAGCCTCGTTTGTAGGGAATTCCCCGTTCTGCGTACCAGCCTTGCATATCTTGGTCGAGAAACTCGTCCACATCTCTTAATATGTCATCCTTTACCTCGTTGTCCATGATGACTGTGGAGATAGGTCGCACTGGTCTCAACCTGGCTTTCTTCCACTCACCTTCACGGTGCTCAAAGACAGAGACCTTTCTCTGGGTGTCCTTGATATATTTTTCTCGGCACTCTTCGATCAGACTTTTCAGGATGTTGGCATTGAGACCAATAGAGGAGATTCGGAGATCCTCTCGATGCTCTTTAACATCGCAGTGAAGAACGAGCAAATGTCCCTTATACCAGAAAAGAAATGATCCATCCCATGGAGAAAAAGTCAGAGGCTTTTTCTTTGTTGAATAGAGGTTGCTGGTCCGCTGTGTGGATCTCACACGAGCAATCAATGAATGGGCATTGTGGACAAACGGTTGGTCAGCTATCCAATCAACTAGCATATCGTATGCTTCGTCGTAGTATGAGACATAAATTGTGGAGGCTTCAAACTGTCAGACTCATCCCATTATAACAGGAGGCATACCCACTGAAGTAACTTCTCACTATTTCCCAAACATAGCGGACTGCATAGCGGGCGAAGAGGACAAACATCCCGAAAGCACAAAAAAGTCGGGTGTAGCTGTCCAGGTTACCAGCAAGCAGCTGGTGTGCGGAGGCAGAGGCTATACTGAAACCGGGAAAGATGACGTCTATAAGAGACATTTGGGAGGGGCCGTGGTAGGAACCACCGTTGATGGCGTTCATTGTAGAGAATGGCAAGATGGAAGGGGCTATACCGTTTCCTGAGAAGAGGATTGTGGAATATTCAACTCACAGTTGCTTGATAGTATCATGTTCTTTTATATGCTCTAGATCAGGGAAGAACGAATGCTTCATGTATAGAACTCGCATATGCGTCAGCGCCAATCTCGGCCGCCGAGCCCCCCATTCATGCATTCATTTTCACGGAAAAGCGACGTGCGTATGGCTGCACCAACTGTCTTGGGAAAGGTCCGTCACAGTCACATTCTCAAACTGGGATCGTATTGCCTCTATCAAGGTGTTGTCCCCGCAAATTTTGCGGTGATGAAGGTGTATAGATCAAACAATGTCAAAATATCCTACGAATGGAGGCAAAATGCTCGAGGCACGCGCCCCATCACAAGTTCTGGCCCCATCTTCACATGCAGTGGCCGTGCATTGCAGGGTCACAAATCCCTGTTGACTGGGAGCGGCTGAGTACCCCGCTCTGGTCCAAAATGACTTAAAGGCTGGGCAATTTGCCCACATTACTCGAGCTAGGTGTACCACTCAGTCTTTCGTCCCTTTTTCCCCGACAATCTTCGGCAAACCTTCCCGTATCATGGATACCTACATTCAAACCATCGGCTCCCTGGACGACTTCGATCCTCAGGCTTTGGCCCCGAAAGATTTGGAGACAACTCTATCGACTCTGAAGCAGCTGCTGCTGAAAACGGAGGCTGCGAAACTATTGTTGCCTGCAAAGGAGACATTTTTCAGTCGTGTTGCATTAGGGAGACTATCTCATTTGCTGAATTTGGTGTTTAGGCCAGATAAGCGGCACGAACCGAAACTGGCAGCTCTTAGGGAATTGGACTCTGTGTCATTGATCATTTGTGGGCTGAGTCTTACCCAAAAGGCCATCGAGGTTATGCGAAAAGAACTTTTTGACATCTTGCTCGAACAAGCTGTTGTCGCTTCTCAAACAACTGTGAAGATTATCGCCAAGAGCGATGAAATAAACAAGGTAGTCCTGAGCTCATCGGCCGACGAAGATTTTCTAAAAAGCAGGTTCTATCGTCCGTATATCTTGCAAAGTAGCTAACAAGGCCATAGATTATATCAGTCTGAGACGAATCGTTAATGGCACTATACGACCAAGTCTTCAATACTCTCTCTGCGGAGGACCGTCCTGGTGCTATACTACAATCATCAAGCCCGAGTCCATGCAAACTACATTCCCTCGGTTGCTTATTAAGGCTGTCCGCGGCTACGTCACAACTTTTCTCCCATCCGAGGGATCTACAGACGGGTTAATCAGAGTTATGATTATGTTTGATCAGAGCCTCCTTCAAAATCTGTTTGGTTGTGCAGAGAGCGATACAATGGCTGCTGGTAAGTGACTTCCATGTCGCACTTGGCTAGTACTGACTTAGAGCAGAGCGTTTTTCGGTTGGTTGCGCTGTAAAGAACCAGATAGCTGTGGCGTTTGGAGATGATGTTTTCGAGGCTATTACAAGCAGTCAAGCCTGGAGCCAGGAAACCGGGGAGATTGAGACTAAGTGTGTGAAGGCAGATATATATCCAGCACAACTCATGATGATCAGTCTGACTGTTGGCTGGACATCATGTTACAATTTCGTAAATTCAATCTACCGGTCGTGATTTCGCCGACCCACCCTTTGCCCTGACCCGTATGCCAGGCGGTAGCTTCATCTGTCCACTCCCCTCTGCTCGAAATAGGGTCGAGCCATCCCCATCCTGAAACAGTATCTCCTCGCAAAATTCGCATGCAAAAAATTGTTCTTCGGTCAAGGACGCATCGATCTGGTGAGCGGCTTTCCTATCAGACTCTTGAAATGTGGCGGTGGTGAAATTTTGCCAGCGGCTCGCCTGCTCAGGTCAGAAAGAGTGTGCAAAATATCGGGACATGTGCCATACCAAGTCGGACTGTGTCACCTTCGCTTCATTTGCCATCCGAAAGGATCAGCGCACCAAGACTAGTGCTCGCGCGGTTGTCAAAAATGATCGAACCTGGTCGTGGGAATTCGAATGTGTTGGAATCCGAAACGTGCGTTCTTCGGGTATAAAGTTGACAGCTGCGATTCACTAAGCACGTACGGATCTTCGCTAGTAATTGTGAGATGTTGTGATTAATATGGACGTCGTCGGCTGGCCGCGGCGAAGATATCAGGACGTTCGTCGTTTGAGCTTGTTAGAGGGGCAGAAGGCGGGGGAAGACCACGTGATTACTAAGACTGCCCGATCCTGCCCGATCCTGCCCCAAGTTGGGCATTCATACTTCGCATTTCATTTTGATCCAGAGAATGCTAAGTCATAAATCGAGCCGTCAGATACCCGTGCGAGAGACTTTCATTCCATATCAATGTATCTGTTTGCTCTGACTTACATAAGCCTGCAGGAGTAGGAACAGTCAACAACAATGCGGTGTCAAGCAAGAGAGGATAGTTCATGACATGACCGAGATTGATGGTCAGAACTTCCTCAAAATCATGGCAAAATGACTGAGGTAAGTGGTGCATGCATATTGAGCAGGGGGCAGAATACTAGGCAGATCTTGCGTTCGCTCTAGTCAAGTTTCCTCGAAGCCTAGACATTTTGCCCCAAAACACCTTGCTCCGCAACAGGTAACCCATCCTATCGTCCTGTTCCTCCTGGGTAGCTCTTTGGTTAGATAAAACAGAGTCAAAGTGGTTAATGCAAGCCTAGAAATGTATAAAACCCTACGGTAGCCAAGCTCAGGAAAAGTAAAGGTACGGTTTTGTCTTCTCAAAACACGAATATAACGGTTTATTTGTCTGGGAGCAAATATCAAAAATTCAAGAAAAGATGTATTCTGAGGTGGTTTTTCAACTGGCTACATCCGCAATAGCTTCTTTCTGCTGTGGAACAAGTCTTCTTCTCTGGCTCTTCTCTATCAAGGCTTTTAGTCTCCCAAGATTGAGCAGTGAATTTCTCATCTCCAGCCAACTTATTATAGGCGGTGCCGCGTTTTTGGGTCTGATCGCGTCTATTCCGCTCCTACTGTTTGAATTGAAGTGGACGAAAGGTGAAAAATACAACGTCCCCCTTCTCAATCCCCATCGTGCCTAACTCTATTCTAGGCCTGTCTTGGCCAATACTACAGCAGGAAATTGGCAGTGTATTTCTTTTACTCAACTTAAATGAGGTAAGGGCACTTGAATAGAAGAAGAGCGACACTGACCTCTCCAGTACCTATCTGTTTCTACTTTGCAATCCTCATTAACCCATATGATATCTGCAATATTATTGATGGGAGCAGTTACTACCCTATCACTTTCCCTGTTTTTTCCGGTGCGATTCAACAGATAATTCCTTCCCTACCGTGCGTGCTTATTTGACCTAAAATACAGGAGCATCACAAAATCTTCATTTCTTCATATATGATCTTGAGCTTGGCTAGTCTCAGCTTCGTTCATGCCCAAATTATTCGAGCCTGGGTCATTTGCATGAAGCCATGGCGTATGGAAATAAGTACGTTCAAATTGTTTTGGCGAAGTCCACGAAGTCCAGACCTCACAACTGCAAGGCACCAACGAGCTTTGTGGGTAGCTTCTATTAGCTCAATGGGGTTATTACTTGTTTTATTAGGCTTGATAATCATTGCCTATATAAAGCCCGAACTGCAGACCCAAATTGCGACGGTACGTATCTTGTTTAGTCCGTCATGAATCATGATACTCTACTCACATGATGCATAGCTCCAGATTACTACAATAAGCCTAAGAAAAGCGGCAGTTTCATTCTACCTTTTCCGAGCCCCGGAACGCGGTATGAACGTCTTACTTTCGCATGGACACGTTCAACAATAAGAAGAGAACATAGATTAGCATGTGGAGACTACAGCAAAGGATACACCGGAGTCACGAGAAACTCAAGATTATCATTACGTTATTTAAATTGCGGTGAAGAGATAGGAGAGAGTCAATTGCTCACATTTTGTACTTGAGGCTGCCTCTAAATCTTGGTGATATGCCCAGAGTACATGTCTCATGTGCGCATATCTTCGTAGTGTGGCAGTCAGTAATACAGCTCCCCCTATTGGACGTGCGCGACGAACCCCGCTCTGGTCAATGTTACTCGAAAGTTAGGTATTTTGCCCGTGGCCCCCTTGTCCGTAAAATGCACCTCATCTATTCGTCTGTTTTTCCTCTCGGATTCTATGCACAGACCCAGTAAATGTCAGTCAGAGACAGGGTTCCCCTCTCCAACTAAATAGTTTTTGACCCACATGAACGATATTGCGCGGTAGGCTGCGAAAGAAAAAAAAATACGAGTTAATCCTCACCCAAATGGTGAATATTGCATGCATGAGTTCCCACCGGAGACGGATGGACACACGCTAGTGCATAAGATATCACAGCGCTAAGGAGATTTTAAGTCACATTCCTCCACAGACTCTCACTTGCAAGCCGAAAACACGTCAGCAGGTTTGAAAATGAACAGAGCCGCATTTTGAGCCTAGCTCCTGGCCCAGGACCCATTTGTTTCCTCGAGAGGATAAATATCGAGTGGATGCCTAGGTCGTTTCTTTAACTCGATGCCCTTCAACCATTTTCTTTTCGGTGGCTTATATAATTTTCATTAAACCCCCTGCTGTAAGGCTTCTAAACAGGCAGAATGGCGACACGAGTTGCGAAATATTCCGTTCTTCCTGGACTTGATATGGCTCTGGAGACCCAGGATTTCCGGGTAAGTGGTGCACTGTACGAATTCCATCTTATCGTCCATTAGCATCCGTCCTATTTGTAAAGGACCCAGTAGCTGACGCCCTACAGGTACAACACGCTTCTTGATGACTCCGACCAGCCCCCCGTTTCTGAAGAGCATATCACAGACCTGGCGGAAATGTTCGTCCGTCACAATGCCGACAAGGTTCTTGGGATTCACTTGATCCACGGCCACTTCAAGATTCCCAAGAACACCGTCATGCTTGGGTCCAACTTCGAAAGCCCTCCCCTTCGCTGGACTAAAGTTACCGATATTGACAAGATTGATCCCTCCCGAGTCCACGGGCATATCTTCGCCCTAACTAAGGACGGGCTATGCGCTTATGAGCTACAGGACGGGCCTCTTCCTGACCTGTCTTGCGTTGACCCGGGGTTTTTTGACGAGTTCATTAACTACATTGTCAAGAAGAATCTTACAAGTCTCATTGGTCTCCAAGTTCTTGGGTGCAGTGATGGCTCCATGTCGGAACTCATTCTCGACCAAGGAACTGTCATGCTGGAATCGGCCTTTGTCAAGAACACTGTACCGACGCGTATCACAGGCTGGAAATTCGAGGCGAGCGGTCGTAGGCCACGCGTTTGCTCTGCAAATGAAACTCATGCAGTTATGACCTCAGGCAATCACAAAGTCTTCAATGCAGGGAAGCCTCTTCCTAAACTGGAAAATGTCGACGATCTGAAGGCCGCTCTTGCTGTGGTTGGGGTTATTTGATTTGTTTTAGTATTGCTCCCTTTTGTTGGTTATTGAATCTCCTATCCCAAATTTTCCATCGTATTCCAGTGCCTATCGTCTATGCTAAATCCGTAAACCTTGTAGCTGGATTTATCAACAGCCCATCCAGATCACGCATGTTATATGCTCCACTTTCATCATCCCGAATGGGTACTGGCTCCGGCATATTCGCGAGACGACTTGTGAAGCCACGAGATAGCAGTAGTCCTACAATTCTTGCTGCTTTGATAACTCTGATTGTGTCATTGCCTAACCCTCCAGCTTCAACTCTGAATGTGCTCCAGAATATATCCTCCAAAATGACGTAATCGTCATACCGGACCCAGCCTTTCTTGAGATGGACCTTACTTATCAGTCGCTGGTGAGAAAAGAGATTCAAGCCAAATAGTGCAATCTCTGCTTCGGCCCAATCCACAACCCCAACTAGATTGCAAGACATTTCGTTCACAATAATATTGCAGACACCAAAGTCTTTGTGAACTAGGACCATGGGAAGAGAAAAAATGGTGGGTAATGAGTTGAGAGACTCCTGAATTAATGGGTGGAAGCGATCTGGGAGAGAAGCAAGCAACAAATTCAGCTCATTTTTGTATCGACTGTACAAGTCGTCGCGGTATGTTTGACCAACATCTTGAGGACGTTTCCACGAAAGGGCAAAGAATCTAACATGGCGTCTAATTAGCAATTCGGTGTATTTGTAACGAGAACGCTAAGCATACTTCGCAATGTCAATTACAAGATTCTTGCGCCATGAAGAAAACTCGGGCGAGTTTTCGGGCACTTGACTGTTATGTGCCAGGATAAAATCCAAGTAACTAATGCCTCGGAGTCGACTCATGATGTAGATGGAAAGGGCTTCTTTGCTCTCTGTGGCTTCTCCAATATGTCCCATAAAAGTCACTTGAGGTGCAAAGTGACTGTAGATGCTCCGAGCAAGTTTCGCAATCTCCATACTTAGTTGGAGAGACGCAAGGCGAAATTGCACGACGAATTCGGCATTATTCCCCGCATAGACGGTATAGCTGCACACACCCTGAACGGCCACTGGAACGATGTTTCCACCAACATGCTCACTCGCAAAGGCGTCACAGGCTGAGCGAGTGGCTGTCGTCTTGTCGAAGAAATCTGCAATTTCTTGGTTAACAGAGTATGCGAGGTCACTGGTAGTCATGGCAGGCACAGGCTGCTTTGTCCAATATGATGAAATTAGAAATGAAGCAAAAGGTTGTAGCTAAGGCGAGGCAAGGAGGAATGGTAGCCGTATTATATACCCCCTATTAAGGTGTTCGACCAGCGTGTCAGGTGACAGAGCATTGACTTTGTCACACCGTCGTTTCGGACAAACAATTTTCCTGAAAATCGTCCTATTCTAAGCGGAAAACAGGTTGGTTGGTTTGAGATGTGGCCCAAGTGGAGCGGCATGGATTAGTAACCTGTCGCCCTCGGGTCGCAGAGCATTAGCGCTTTCGCGCCACGTGTAGAACAAGGGGCAGATTCGATGAAAAACAAGGACGGTACGGGATTCGCTGCACGGGATGGCTGCCCAGCTGATGTATTTTCGAGGCCAAGGTGTCGAATGAGGCGCTTTCGCTCCAGTGATAGAACATCATCTGGCTCGGGAGGAGCCGCTTCTTCTTCCTTGGAAGATAAAATATCGGTCGCGAGGACATCAAATTCAACATCTTCTACGTGCTCATGAGATTTCAGATGGGTCACGAAATCCTTGGGAATCTCAACACTGCAGGTGCCAGGGGAAGCTTAGTACTGTGATATGCGTGGATCACTCTGGGTACTAGGCACTCACGAAAATCCATTGAAGCTCTCAAAATCATCGAGAATATTGCCTCCATTGGCTCGAACGAATTCTTTGACCCTACAAAACAAAAGAGACAGTTAATCGGCAATTCACCAGTCTGGTGGATTGGAAGACGTACTGATTGACGTTCTGTGGTGGTACGCCTGCGTAGCATTCAACCTGTCGGTAGGTTGTTGAAAAGATTGCATGAGCCTAACGGACACGATTTTTTAAGGGATGCAGCTACTAACCAGATAGTTAGGCATTGTGCTCGATATGAACGTGGAATAGGAGTCGTCAAACACTGCGTAGGAAGCCTCCTTGCTTCAAGTGTCGGATATCTGGGGAAGTGAAGGCTTTAAATAGCTTACGGTAGAATCGGTAGAATAGCCTTCAAGAGCGTGCCAAACGGATGTTATTGGGGTGCGGCATGCCTCGATTCAGCCCCACTTAGTGTCCGCAGAGAGCCTTGTCACGCCAAGGAGTGTATAGCTGGCATCGACAACTATTTCCTGCACGCCAAGCACTACTGAATAGAAAGCCACTGCGGTAGTCCCATCACGTCACCTCGCAGTGTGTGACGCATAGGACAGATGCATGGACTCGGAGGGCGGTGACTGATTCTGCCGGGGAACCTGACTAACCCGATTGGGACTAGCGATGCCCTCATGTGTCTGTTTAGATGCGCGCGCGCAACCAGACTTAAAGGGCATTTAAAGAACTTAAGACCGTATAAATGTGCAAAAAGGAGTTTTCCATTTTTGAACACGCAGAGGGCCACTCTTTTTCTGATAAAAAAATCGTGGTCTTTTGAATGTTGAGCTAAATTTGACTAGTGAAAATGTTTGGGTGCTCCAGGATTGCAGTCGCTCCAAATGTGGTGCGGCAGGCGGTTGAAGCACCGCGACGCAGTTTCAGATCAATTCCTGCCCAGAATCTGATGATCCGCTCTGTGCGATCCAAAAAGGTGACCGCACAATTCTGCCGTGGTATTGGAAGCTCAGTCCAGTTACCAGCCGATGTGAGAAATCACGCTGGACCTAGACCTTTATCGGATGTAACCCCACAATACAACTTCTGAGCATGTCGAATGAAATCCTAATACAAAGTCCGGAATATCCGGGAACACCTACGTTTATTACATCATATGCATGTAATCACATGCCAGCACACGTCAGTATGCTTCTGTTTGCTAGATCTAACAGAGGGTTCTGAAGACCAAAAAGAAGTTTGTTGGGAAGCTATACCTAATCCAACAATCGACCCTATATTTATAGCTGTGCCCTTTGCAGTCGCCCTACACCTTCCGGTGCAGTTACTACAAATATCTTACTCTATATTCCTTTGATTTGCTTAACTCAAAAATATCACTATGATCGGAACATCTCCTGCGGAGTACTTCTTTATTCGGGCTTGCATCCTGTTCCTTCACAACATTGCACCTATCAGCACGTTATACTGCGTTCAATTACTCCTCGTTCAATTCTTTCATCTACCAGTTTATCTCGAACGCATACCCTACCCTATCCAAATCTGGCTCACTGCAGAGGCAGTCTTTTTCACCACTGTCTCCATACCGCTCAATTACGCTCTCCGCTATCCTTCTATCAACCACGGATCTATATCTGCAGAGTGCAGAGAGAAATTGTTTAGGAATTGTCATACGAATGTGCCAAATCCGGAGAAATATTTAAGTCGGTGGCTTATGGTCTCAGAAGGTGAATGCATCAAGCGCGATAACGTGAAAGATTTTATCAGATGGGCATTCTTTGGACCTGGATATACGCGGGAGCAGGGCCAGCAGAATGAGGAGGAAATCGAGACCTATACAACAGAAATTGAGAAGATGATTGGACGAAAACTGTCACCAGGAAGGATGGGTGTGAAAAGCCTAGGACAACTTCTAAATGAAGCAGGCGGCTCACATCGTAGTCTGTTGTGGTACGCTGTTAGTTATCTCTCTCTCCACCCTGTGTGATTGACCCTATCAGACTGACGTTCAAATTCACCTAGTGCGTCTTTGTGGTTGACACAATAATGTACTGCAAGATGTTGTATAGTGGATTCCATTTCCATCGCAACACGCTCTTGCGATTCTTTACCGTCTTTCCATGTCGCCCTCTCACGATACTCACGACCTACCGATCGCCGGCGCGGCATCTCACATACTGGCATCGACGGCATACATCCAAGAAACGGCTCCCCGTACTATTCATACATGGTATCGGAATTGGGCTGTACCCTTACACGAGTTTCCTCCGAGATCTCAACAGTGAACTAGGGACCGGGGCCACCAACGATAGTGAGGTTGGGATCATCGCACTTGAGATCATGCCGATAAGTTCTCGGATAACTCATCCGGCTCTGGAAAAGGATGTGATGATATGTGAGATCATGGAGATCATACGGTATCATGGGTGGAGCAGATTCGTGCTTGTGTCTCATTCTTATGGTTCCATAATCGCTGCACACCTCCTTAAGTCCGATCGTTCTACTCCGCTCATTGGACCTACGGTCTTTATTGATCCGGTCTCGTTTCTCCTCCACCTGCCTGACGTGGCATACAATTTCATAGCCCGCCGGCCAGCACGAGCCAATGAATACCAACTGTGGTATTTCGGAAGTAAAGACATAGGAGTTGCGCATACATTGGCAAAGAGGTTTTCCTGGGTTGACAACATCATTTGGAAGGAGGACCTCGGGATAAAGGTCAGAGAAAAACAACAGGAGGGTAGAAATGTTACAGTGGTTTTAAGTGGTAAGGATTTGATTGTGGATGCCGAAACAGTGGGGCAGTACTTGATGGGTTCAACAGCTGAAGGCTGGACAATTGACAAAGAAACAGTCCGAACATGGAAAAACAGGCCCTGGGTTGGATACGGGCTTGAGCTGCTGTGGTACGAACAGTTGGATCATGCTCAGGTCTTTGATTTTGAGAATACTAGGCGACCGGTCATCAAGGCGATCTCTGTATATTCAAACACAAACTGAGACAGTCACTTACCGACATATTCGTCCATAAGTAAAGAAATCAGGGCGAAATATGGTCTCGGTGTTCGTCACTAAGTTTGTATGGCAGCGCAGGCTTATTCATGCAGACTGTTAAGTCTACGTAATACGCAACTTTGTCGTTAGAGGTAGGGAGCGTGTGGGTGACCTTTTTCCCTTTTCTCTTGTATTACTGAGTGCCTGGATGTTTCGCAGCCGCATGTTCTTAACTATGTGATCGTTTCTGAATCGGTCGATTCTGGAGTAGAGGCCCTTGATTAACAGGACTGACTTACCGCTGCTGGGATTTGCTCATAGATAAATGCTCTGCGGCGTCTGCGAGTTTACTAGATAGTTAATTTCCACTTTGCAATGACATGAATCCTTTGGAATATGAACGGTGTATCGGGTCAGCCATCAGAGCCATTCCCGCTCGCCCTGCCAGTGATGTCCTGCCAGTTGGCATTAAAGCGTCTTCTAGTGCTAGCCAATAATCCTTCCTCCTCATGCTCCTCGGCATCTTCGTCGAGCTGCCTCTCGCCCAAATTCGGGGAGCGAAACAGAGACGTGAGAAAGGTGACAAGAGAAAAGCCTATTTTATTGATACATCGTTAGCTCGATAACCATTTGACTAGGACATGGCTATTTAAAGGAAAAGATTCCCTACCGAGAAAGAGGAATTGGGCCCAAAAGAACACGGCGCCGAAGAAAGGAAAATTCAGAGTGACGCGATTAAGGAAGGTGCTGCCAATACTGGGTGTGCAGACTCGCTGTGCTGCGGGGCTGTCTGCCAGTTCCGAGCATGGTTTGATAATATCTTTGTTGTTTGAGCAGCCCGGCTGGTCCAGCGGCGGCCCAGGAGCATGATCACAGAAAGTTTGTGGCCCGAATGTTGCGTACTGCGGAGCAACTACCATCGAAATGGAATAATTCAACGCTAAGATGATCAGCATCAACATAGCGGTCGCTAGGAGTAGAGCCTGGGGAGACGTGTGCCCCTGTCGGATTTGGAAGATTCTGATCCATAAGAAGCGGATTCCCACTGCAGCAATCCCGGCAATAGAACTGCAGAAGAAAAAAAGCACAAGCACGGTGAAAATAGCATAGTCAACGGGAAAGATGTTGGCGGATTGGACAAGAGCCCAGTTAACGGGATTAAAAAAATTGACGTGTCCGAGGATATATCCACAAAGGATCTTGCAGATCGAGTTTTTTGCTTTGTCAACTGAAGTCAAAAGCATAGATACCCATGTAATGGACGCGACCAAAAGTAGTAGAACGCCACCCAGGAGCTTGAAGGGACAGCAAATCGCTTCGATCTTGAACCATGCCCTCACCAAGCAGCTCCAACCTTCGCCCTGAGCTTCTTCTACCAGGTGTTGTCGCTGAATAAGCGTCCTCTCCTCCCGTGCAAGAGTATCGAGCTCCCTGCGATCATTGGACGATAGGAGATCGGGGTTCCCTCCGCAACGGCCTTCCAGCTGACGTTGCCGCTCACGATTTGTCTCGAGATGTACTGCCGTACTGGCTCGCAAGCGCGGGTTGGAGATTGATGGGGCGGTCTTGATCAAGCTGATTGGGAAGAAAGCGAGACCCGAGGAGGTATATAGGACATAGAGGCAGATTCCGATGGTCATCAGCACCCCAAGGGCAAAACTCAGAGCACGTTCCCCATCTGCATCAATTTGTATCAGCTTTGCGGCCCCAAGAATCCTAGGGGAGGTTGCGAATGCTCACGATTCTCAATCAATAGTTTCTTGAAGTAATCCAGCTCCACGCCATTCTTGTTCCTCGACAGTGGGACGAAAAATCCGACAACGAACAGGATAATCGCAATAGTAACGAATGACATGGTGTACTTGAGGGCGCCCCAAAGCCGCTGCCCAACCGTTTGCTGACCTGTTTCTGTCGCAAGCTCATCATATCCATCATACCAGAAATATGCAAATGGAATTCCCAGGAGACAAAGCACTGCATCCAACGAATACAGGAAATAATACACAACTGTCAAGGAGGAGGTTATTTTGTCAACCTCATCCTGTGTGGCCCAGTCTTTCCGCCGGCCAAGCTTGGACGAGGTTGTCGATGAAACAAGCGCCACATCCACCGGCAGAATAAGCACCGTCGCAAGAAGACTGGTGATCGCGATGACGCATGTAAAAGTCACAGATGGATAACGATCCCGAGGAGTTTGGTAAATATGAACAAACACAGAAGCCACTGCAAGCAACATAGCTACCACAAACGCATACACGGCCCAAATCAGGGATATCTGAATGAGTGCCATATTGGACAACTGCTTTTGGCGGAATTTTTTGAAGCATGGGCGATGTCATGAAGGATGGTAAGAATGGGAGGAATGGGTTAGCACCTAAAGCAGCACCTAGGTGTTTATGTATAGGAGTAGTTTAGATGGCGCGGTGGCTGAAGCCTGATGGATGACGATGCTTGTTGAATTCTCGGGCGCCTCTTTCGTCATCGCCCTCGGTATGGACTAACGCTTTTGGGACTGGCTGGTGTGCATTTTTGGTTACGGCAATATCCGGCCCTGGGGTCGCCCCACACCGATCTTCGAGGCTGCGTGGGCCGGGCACATGGTGGTTCAGGTTTCCGCACCTAGAACGAGCGGCAGTAGGACTGACTAGTTTCGTGTTGTTTCCCAGCTTGTTAAGCCATTCGATATTGTTGCGGGCCGCTTCCGCCGACTCTGCATTTTTAAATCGGATCACATGTTCTCGTCGATTTCCGCGAATCCTCCTGCACCGTGAGTCCCAACAATTTTGAATTCCTTCTTGGCCAGGATGTCTTCTGCGACCTCTGTATACTCTGGGTCCTGAGCAAGTAATGGCAATGTTTCATTGCCACGACAAAGTTGAGCGATAGTAAGAGCCACCGAGTGCTGGATTATGCAGCCCATCACATTTTTCACCTCCGAGTTCTCATCCCAAGAGTCGTGCTGCTTTTTTAGCCATTCAGGCGCGGAGCGGCAAAAATCACCGAGCCCGAAGCAGAGAACTTTCTTCACAGTATTCGTACCGAGTACATCTTGGACCAAGGCTGCCAAGTCCTTGCAGGTCTTGCTATTCTGCCACAATAAGTGTTTCTCGTCAAAGACTTGCATAGGCTGTGCTATAAGCTCTCGAAAGTTTCGTGCAGTCTGATTGGTCCAATCCACAATGTAAGAGCATAGGTAAGTTTCGATTGGGCCGTTGGGTTGTGCTTTCACAAGTTGCCAATATTCTTGGTACTTGACATGGGGTTTCCTAGGGAAATCTTAGATTGCAGGCTGAAACTGGGTCAGAATACCATACCCACGTACCAGATAGGATTCTGTACTTGGAACATGGGATTGGAAATTTGGATTATGCTTCCATCGATTCGACGGACTGAAAATCGCTCCATCGCATAGGATTGGCGCAATTGTTGTTCTATGTCTTCGAGATCCTCTTTCGTCCAAAGCCTGGTACCAGAACTGTACAGATCTGCGGCTCTTTGGCTACTGATCCGCCAATCTGTGCACCCGTAGTCGAGCGGTCTTAGAGTTTGTGGCATGGTCTCGTAGCTGCTGGTCGAGCAAGGGTGAGGAACACACCATGTGGTGAATTGCTGGGAGGAAAAAGCCCAAGATTGTTGGAAAGGGGAGAAGTTTATTCGTGTACAAGGGTCAGAAAAGAAAAGGCTAGGACTGAGCTGTGATACTCGATGATTGTCTGCTTTTGTGTACGGGTACCAATGTCGGATACAGTGACAACGTTTGCTTTGAGGGATCAAGAAAAATTCGACCACCGTGGAAGCTCTGCTGCTGACTACTTAACTGCTTAAGTAACTTACTAGGTAGGTAAGGGGGTCAAGAAAAATCAAGGCAGGAGGAAAAATAAAATTCCGATCACCGCTTTACGGGGCAGTCCTAGTCGGGGGCCACATTAAATGTTACACCACATTTCACACCAAATCTACACCGCCTTATACCCTATTGTCAATTGGGACGAGCCCCTGATCCCGATTCTCTGCATTTTGTCGTGCGACGCTCTGCAGCACGGTCTTACCTATCATATTTCCGAGCATCCTGCTCCAGTAGAAGTATGGATAGGTCAAGTATATAATTGCTTTTTATATGGTCGATATTTCAAACGGAACGCGTCATATATCTTACTGCTTACAGTCTCCTTCCCCCAGCGATGACTTTGTTGATGCCTGTAGTGCAGCGATAATGCTGTTCAGGACCTCTCCGTATTAATTCATCGACACTTTGTCAACAGTGAATTACGTCAAGTGATTGGCTGGTCGGGTCGGTCCGGCCCAACAGCCAGGCAGCAGATCACACCTTCCAGAGAAGCAGCGAAAAGTCCACATAAAATTTGCAACCGCCTTTACCTCTTCCTCTCTCTTATGGAGAGCTTACATGACGGTGTATTGGGGCGCTAAGCCGGGAACGGCAAAACTATCCGGATGTAGTAATTCACAGGTCCGCCGTTTACATTTGCTATTTCTGTTAGTTACTTTTGTAAATGTGTTTAGTTCCTCTCCATATAGTAGTAGGCTTACATAGATAGATGAATATCTAGCTATGGCAGCAACATAAATTAGCTAAAGAGAGCAGGGATAGTAAGGGATGAGAACGTTCACAAAGGATGAAGCAGCACCTGTTTGATGGATGTTGATTTGAAACATGGTAACGTTCAACTCGACCCAACATGCTAAAGGTGCTGGACACTGGTGGACTAGCCTCTGTTTTAGATGATATTAACACATAACAATACTATGCTCAATCAAACTGGGGAATAGCGGTCCACGATTTGCCTGCGCCGAGGTGGACCATATCGCTGTCTTGCCACACCTTCGGTGTTTTTACGCCTAGCACCCGCGGCTTGAACGGCCTCGCAGGATGTGCCTCTGTACGAGGATCCGCTTGTCACGTTGGAATTGCGCCCAGACCCCCCAGAATTTCCAGCTTTGCTGCCCTTGAGGCGTGTACAATAGCGCACCTGTAGGGAACCTACAGATCTTCCAGGGAAATACTCTGCGATTCGCTTCCACGGCAAGCTCCGCTCTTCCTTCAATTCAATCAAAAGCCGGTCGTCCTTAGACAGGGCTTGGGCTCGCCCGGTTGATTTCCCAGCGCGGGACCCTTTCCGGGAGGGTTGCTCTGAATGCTGGTTGCCAATTCGGTTTTCACAATGTGCAGACACGCCTGAATCCCGAGAGCGGGAATGCTCTTCCTGGTCTTCAAAGGTAGATGGCATAGACGGCTGGTGGGGCTCCTCTGGAAGGAACGACATAAAATAGACATGCCGAGGACCGTGAGCTTGAATACGAAGAATCCCGCGTCCGAAGATCTCTTGTGTTTTACCCAGGGTGACGTCTAAACCACCCACTGAAGGGTTTGGGGATTGTTCATTGGTCGATGCTGAGGTGCTTTCCATTGCCCTCTTCGGTCTCTTCCGTGGGCGTCCTCTTGTCTTAGAACTGGATCCACCTGAAAATGGTGAATCTTCCTCTGTCAGTGCGCGTGTTGCCCGATCATGGTTAAGACTGCTGCTATCGCCGCCGCCCCGACGACTGTGATATCGTGCTCCAGTTGGAGGATTGGTCTTGGTACTTGACACCAAGTCATCGGTTCGGCGGGCTGGGATGAGCACTGAAACGGTAGGCAATCGCTCTGACCAGGCCGCGTCGATACTTGGTTGCGGACGAAGGGAACGGGTGTGAGTTAAAGGGCTTTTCGATTGCTCGAGCGGACGAATTCGCGGTCCGAACCGGGAGAGTGCAGTCGCTTGACTCTCCTCGGTGAGTCTGCCTCTTTCATCATTCCCCAGACCAGCCTCTTTGACCGAGGGGCTACTAGTCTGCACACTTTGCACTGTGGTCATCCCATCCCCCCGGCCTTCCACCCGGTCTCCGGAACTGTCTGGCCCAGCCTTGGTGTCATCCACGGCTGATTTGTGCCCCATGATGACTCCAGCGATAGGCCCAGCTTGAGGATGTCGTACACTTTCCAGAATATCCGGCGAGGGTGAAGGCGATGCACGCGTATAAGGAAAGCTGACTTCGGGTGAAGTAGAATCCTTGTTGGTCTCGTAGCAGGTTCCTAATAATGGAGTACTATCTCGATGCAATTCAAGCTTTTCGGTTGGGTCAAAGGGCGGACCTATTGTGTGTTAGGGGAATAAGCTAAACAAAAAGATGACAGTCGTGCCTACCAAAATGATGCAAATCTGGTTTTGCTGGTATGGAAACCGGGTCTGAGTCACTAACAGCCTCTACGAAAGGGCAGTGGTCTGGATGCTCTGGTAGATTAACATTAGTGAAGTTCTCTGATCGGCACTCCATAAGCAGTCCGACATACCTGGAACCGAAGACGTGCGCTGGTCTTGAGGCCCATCGGTATCATTTCCGTTTGGGATCCCTGAGTCGCGATACAAGGTCAGATCCGCCTCTCGCGTGACCTGGCCGTTCTGCGCCCTAACGATCCTCTCTAATTCGATATCAAATTCATTGCAAACGGCACGCAAATCATGGTCTTCTCTCGCAGGAGCCCTAAATCGCGGGGACACATCTGGCCTAGCATCAGAAGCTAGGGTAATCGTCGTCCTAGGGGAAGGCGCCCTGGGTGGAATTGCACGCGAAAGGGCTCGTGAGGCAAGAGGAGTCTCATATGGCTTCCAGCAGGAAACAGGGAAGGTACATGGAGGAGGCTTTGCAGGAGGGGGTTGAGAGTAGAAGGTAATGTTATCAAGGCTGATATTCATGGTGTCGAGATTCTCAGGAAGAAAAATGAAGTATACTGTTTTGCGACAGAGAAAAAGGAGAGGGAGTGAGAAGTGCTTATAAGGTATCTGAAGTCACTTCTCAGAACGAACGCCAAGTAGGGCCGCTGCTTCTCGGCATCGCCACACGGAGGTTGCAAGCACCAACATAATTAAACGGGGCGAGAACGGGAGATCCGTAGTGGTCTGGACCCATAGGCAAGGAATAGTCAGGTCGTGATTCGCATTGTTTAGCGTCATGGCCCCTTTCCATGCCCGGCACTGGTCTCATCCGCATGAGTGGCAATGCAAAATGATCCCAGATTCGCGGAACGGATGTTTGGGATTCGATCGCACTCGTCGGATTTCGAGGACATATGGATGCCTTCATCGGCCGGTTTTGTGGACCAACCCCTTCGGTCTTCCCGTGATCGGGGCCAGCAATTTACAGCCACACAGAGTCCTCATAATCTCCGGTCCAAGCCGTCCCAATCCCGTGCAGGAGCATCGTCGCCCTGGTTACAGTCACAAGCGTAACATAATCATCATCCAACCAACCGGATCTTTTCGCAGCGACTTCGATGGAGTCGTCATGCAGGCTGCTACTCAGCCTTCTCGTATGTGATCATTTGTAGTTAACTCAGCGGGACGCTTGAACGCCTACAGCGGACGGAGGACACCCTGGGACACATGAGGCATTTCTGCCATTGGCGTTCAAGCTGCGCGGATCAGGTGCAGATGATTAGGTGCAGACACCGCACGCGCGTCGACAAGTCCTCGCTTCGTCTCAAAAATGAGACATGGCACCTGCGTGGGCCTTCGGACAGGTATAGAACATGAGGGAATTCTGCCATTGGTATTCACGCTGCGCTGAGTGGGCGCAAGCCCATCGATACGTCATCGCCCTCGACTTGGAAATGAGCCATAGGCCCCTGTGCGGAACTTTGAATGAAGGAACGCCTTGGAGGGTTGGAATGGGGCGGACGTAGGCAACCGCCAACGCCCCAGTAGACAATTTCGGGGGCGGGCCATCCAGGCAGGCGAGGACATGCCAATGGTCATCTCGCACCCTCTAGGAAAGATCAGCGATTCACGCTCGCGATGTCAACTATGTCGGTGGACGCCAGCGTCCCTTCGCAGCGGCATGAGTGGGGGGCGAAGCACACATTTTTGGGAACGGTCATCTCCGAGAGGGTCAGGGGTCGGAGCGGTGGCGTCCGACCTTAGGGGACCGAATTGACGAGGAGCGTAGGACGTGGGAAGGAGCCATCGTCGAGCGACGCACCAGCGGGATTATATAGTTGATGGGGGTGGTGAAGGCGGAGACGTGCAGCAGTTCCCGTTGCGGGATAGCGCTGGAAGCCATGCCTGATCAGGGTGACGCTAAACCACTACGGGCCCACGACAGACGGGCGCTAAACCCAACATAGGGGTTGCCAAAAACGGCCGCCCCCTGGTAAATACGAATTGTCCTCTGTTTCCTAGTTAGAATAAACAAGTTTGATATCTTTTCTATCTCAAGTAGAATCACCGGGTATAGTAGACTATCTAAATCAACCTTCTACTGCTTAATTCTTCTGTCTGATTAGCCGATTATGATCTATCTTGATTCGTCTCTCTTCTATAATCGTGGTACTAAGATTAGTATACACGAACGATTTCTTCTACGGTCTTATACACCAGACGCATTTCCAACAAGTATAAATAGTAATAGAATATAGAGATTAGTAGAGTAGATAGGATCGATATATATATATACTACTATAAGATAGCTAGATATATATCTTCCTAAATCTCCCGGAGGTTAGCTAGATTCTTTAGGTCTTTAAATATCTCTCTTCTAACGTTTTTTTATTAGGAAATCTACTAATTACAGTTTAGTAGGGACGTATTAAATATTAATCCTTTTTTATTTAACCTAATCTCTGATATAGTGATATTGTATATCAATATGCTTCGTCCCTTTATGAAATTCAGGGTTTTCGGCTAGCTTAATAGCTGCCTTATTATCTACTAAGATAGTAGGTTTGCTAGGCGTATAGCCTAGGCCTAATCTATCGTTTAGATAGTTAAACAGGTTAGCTAGATAGATAGCTTCCTGTATAGCTTCTTTTATAGCTATATATTCGGCCTCGTAGATAGATAGGGCTACTGATTTTTGTAGTATCGAATTCTAGCTTACTATATTATTAGTAGCTAGATCTCTAGATAGGCTAAATATATAGCTAGTAGTAGATTTTCTACTATCGATATCGCCTAACTAATCAGTATTAGAGTAGCCTTTTATATATAGGTTTTTCCCTATGCAATCGTAGTGTAGGCCTAGATTTAGCTGATATTATAGATATTACTATATCTTCTTTAATTTAGAGATATATGATTAGTTAGGATTGCTTATATATCTTGAGTAATAGGCAACTAGATAGGCTATATTAGGCCTAGTCTTTAGGCTAGTATATAGTAATAAGCTAATCTCTTTTTAATAGAGATTAATAGTTTGCTCTAAAGCTTTTGATTGATTTTTTCTTAGATAGATCCCTGCTTTACCCGGCGTTTTCTTTAGCCGTTTGCTACTAGTAGTAGCGAATTTTGATAAGATCTTTAATATATAATCATTTTGATCGATAGTTATCGATTGATCTTGATAGTTTAGGCTAATATTATTGCCTAGGAAGGTAGCTAGTTCGCCTATCTCTTCTAATTGAATATACTGCCTAGCCGTAGTAGCTAGCTTATTAATATAAGCTAGATCTTTGTGTATAATAATTATATTATTAATATATGTGATGATAATAGCCTGAGTTTTGCTATTTATATATATACCCTCGTCGATAGGAACTCTATCGAATCCGAGGTTCGCGATAGCCTTTATAAAGAATTCAGACTAAAGCCGTAGTGCTTGCTTTAGGCTATATAGGGCCTTCTTTAGGTAGCAGTACTTATTTTGATAGGCAGGGTCTCCTAGCCTATATAGGCTAGTTAGCAAGATAGTATATATATCACTATCGATATCGGCGTGTACGAATACGTTTTTAACGTCGTATTGCCTGATATACTATTTTTTATTTATCGCGATAATTAATATTATATACTAGGTTTCTATTCTAGTAGTAGTAGAGAAGGTTTCTAGGAAATTAATACCTAAACGTTGATTAAATCCTTGTATAACCTATCTAGCCTTATAGCAAATCGTTTTATTCGTATTTATAATATAATTAGCCTAGATGCCTGTAGTATTTTTTATAGGCTTCTTTTTAAATACCTATCTACCCCTAATAGGTATTACACTAGGGGGTATATTAACGATTTTATAGGTTGCCTGATCTATCAGGCTTTGATTTTCGTCCTGATAGGCCCTATACCACTTATTCCTTTTAGCTGATTGTATAGCTTGATTAAAGGTAGAGGGTTCTTGATTAGTTACTACCGATAATATATAATCGGTAGGCTGATCGTTGATAATAGTTTTTATAAAATCTCTTAGTAGCGTATCTGATATAGTATATATATCTTCGCTAGTAGATAGGATTTGGATCTCTATCTTATGAGACGGATCCGCTGCTATAGCAGCTTCCTTACTAGTAGTTTGCTTAGTAGGTTTACTAGCTGATTTGCTAGTAGATAGGCTAGTAGATTTACTAGTAGATTTACTAGTAATCTTCTTTTTAATAGGGTTTACTACTTATTTAGTAGTTCTTTTCTTAGTAAATCGATTTTCGTTTGCTTTGATTCCTGGCTCCTGATTAGCTAGATTAGATTGATTTATTAGGAATCTACCTTCTAAGATAGTAGGGTCTCTTAACTAGACTATCTTCTTCTACTTTAGGTTATATAGCTTATAGTACTTCTGCTTACTATAGCTACTAATAATAGCTATAGATTTTCTTGGCGATAGCTTACTAGGTAGGTTTTTGTTTATATGATAGTAGGCAATAGATCCCTAGGTCTTTATATACCTAATAGCAGGTAGGCGCTTGTGATATATCTTATAGGGTGATTTTAACCCTAGAGCACTATATAGGGTTATATTATATAGATAGGTAGTAGCTAATAAGGCTTCTCTCTATATATCATCTTTTAATCCTGTTTAGATTAATAAACATCTGACCTTATTCATAAGTATTAGGTTTATACGCTTAATTAGGCTATTTAGCTCTTTTATATAGATAGGCGTAGTTCGGTGTATAATACCGTATCTTCCTAATAATATATAGAAGTTATTATTCACGTATTTAGTACTATTATCGGTAAATATCTCTTTAATCTTCTTATTAAGCTAGTTTTTAACTAATTACTTATATAAGGTAAATTTCTTAATAGCTTCGTCTTTTAATCGAAGTAGAGATATATATAGATATCTTGATACTTTATCAAGAAACGTGATATAGTAGCGATAGCTATTATAGGTCTTAGGGCTAATAGGCCCTCTAATATCACTATATATTCTTTCGCCTATACCGTATTCGGTAGTAGAAGTAGAAGATTTATTGATCTTCCTATTATATTTTGACTATATATATATTTCGTATATATTTTGTATATAATCTCTTATCTCTAAATCAGATAGAGATATATTAGCCTAGCTTAATAGCCTTTATAGTAGTATTAGGCCTATATAGCCTAATCTATTATGCTAAAGCTTTAAACTAGTAATATTACTAGTACTTTAGATAGATTAATCTTGATCGATTATATTAGATAGATCTTTTAATTTTAATTAGCTAGAATCTTCCTTATATAGCTTTGTATATATTATATATAGGGTAGTTCGATATAGATTATCTTGCTTATACCTAATCAGCATAATATTTTAATATTAATCGAAAATAGTGGCCTTTTCTCTATTAAATAGAGATACTAAATTTTTTAGTGTATATATACTTAATATATTAATTCCTAATTGTGGGATATAGAGTATATTAGTCAATTTATAGACTAGATTAGTATTCGTCTAGAAGATAATATCTCTAGCAAGATCGATAGATAATCTTTGTATATTTCCC